AAAGAATATCCAATGGAAAAAAGTCTCTTCAATAAATGGTGTTGGGAAAATTGGACAGCCACATGCAGAAGAGTGAAACTGGACCATTTTCTTACACCACACACAAAAATAGACTCAAAGTGGATGAAAGACCTCAATGTGAGACAGGAGTCCATCAAAATCCTGGAGGAGAACACAGGCAGCAACCTCTTCGACCTCAGCTGCAGCAACTTCTTCCTAGACACATTGCCAAAGGCATGGGAAGCAAGGGCAAAAATGAACTATTGGGACTGATCAAGATAAAAAGTTTTTGCACAGCAAAGGAAACAGTCAACAAAACGAAAAGACAACCGACAGAATGGGAAAAGATATTTGCAAGTGACATATCAAATGAAGAGCTAGTATCCAAAATCTATAAAGAACTTATCAAACTCAACACCCAAGGAACAAATAATCCAATCAAGAAATGGGTAGAAGACATGAACAGACATTTCTTCAAAGAAGACATCCAAATGGCCAACAGACACATGAAAAAGGGCTCAACATCGCTCAGCATCAGGGAAATACAAATCAAAACTACACCAGTCAGAATGGCTAAAAATAACAAGTCAGGAAACGACAGATGTTGGTGAGGATGTGGAGAAAGGGGAACCCTCCTCCACTGTTGGTGGGAAGGCAAGCTGGTGCACCACTCTGGAAAACAGGATGGAGGTTCCTCAAAAATTTGAAAATAGAGGTACCCTATGACCCAGCAATTGCACTACTGGGTATTTACCCCAAAGATACAATTGTAATAATCTGAAGGGGCACCTGCACCCCAGTGTTTATAGCAGCAATGTCCACAATAGCCAAACTATGAAAAGAGCCCAGATGTTCATCAACAGATGAATGGATAAAGAAGAAGTGGTATATATATATAGAACGGAGTATTATGCAGCCATTAAAAAATGAACTCTTGCCATTTGCAATGAGGTGGATGGAACTAGAAGGTATTACGCTAAGCAAAATAAGTCAATCAGAGAAAGACAATTATCATATGATCTCATTGTTATGTGGAATTTGAGAAACAAGGCAGAGGATCATAGGGGAAGAGAGGGAAAAAATGAAACAAAAGAAACCAGACAGGGAGACAAACCACAAGAGACTCTCAATCTCAGGAAACAGACTGAGGGTTCCTGGAGTGGAGGGGGGTGGGAGGGCTGTGGTGGCTGGGTGATGGACATTGAGGAGGGTATGTGCTGTGGTGAATGCTCTGAATTGTGTAAGACTGATGAATCACAGACCTGTATCCCTGAAACAAATAATACATTACATGTTAATAATAAAAAAAATTTATTTATTTGAGATGGGGTGGGGGGGTGGTAGATGGAGAGAATCCTCAAGCAGACTCCCCATTGAGCATGGAGCCCGACACAGGGCTCGACCTCATGACCCATGATATCACAACCTGAGCTGAAACCAAGAGTTGGGCACTTAACCAACTGAGCCACCCAGGTGCCCCAGCCCCAGTAGTTTTGATAGCATGGCACTCATCCTTTTTTCTTACATTGGAGTTCATGGGCAAGAAATATACTCTCATAGCCCAGATACAGCTGACCTGATACCCTAGCAGAATCAACACATGGCACCATCTCCTTGATGGGTAGAACCATCAAGAATATTGACTAGCATTATCAGAAGACCTACAAAATTGTAGGCCAGAGGTCACTGCTCACCTCTCTGCAGTCCATGCAAGCCATGAGAGTAGGTATGTGGTATAGTTTCTGGCAAATCTGAAGCTTAGAACTAAAGTAGCCTCCAGAAGTTGCTGGTCAATTTCTCTGGGAGTGATGTTAGCAATATGCTGGGGTATGTATGATGCTAATGTACAAGGACTTGGTATTCTACTCCAATCCTTCCAGTTGCATGTGGAGTGTCATCTGTGAGAGTTAGAACTTTCAACCCTTGTCTCTACCTTCTATCCTAACCCCTACACTCTTATGGGCAATGGAAGACCAAGAAAACTGAGAGCCTCAGGGAATTTTTTTCCAATATCCCTCCCAACCAGTGGTTCTTAGGAGTTGAGCCAGACCTATGAATGGGCATCTTTAAGGGTTCCAATGTTCCAGGAAGTAGAGGAAATTGCATCCCGAAGTGGTCAGGTTAAATTTAAATAGACTGAAGCTAGGCTACAAGAGCCAAATAGGGGTAGATAAACAGAAGGGATCAAATTATGAAGATAGACTACAGAATGAGAAGAAGCAATGCATGAGAAGAGTAGAAGTAAGTAGAAGAAAGGAAGTCTGGAGGAAACCTTTAATCCAGTATCCACATGTTCACAGAGGCTTTTTATTTGATGTCCATGACTATTAATGCAGGTATGCTGAAATCCAATAAAAGAGCCAAAGCAAATGTGCAGCTCCAGCATTGCTAGTATTAACTCTTTAATTCTACATCCTTATCCACTTGCAAATCTATCCATCCCTCTCTCTTTTGCAGTTGTTTCCTAAGTCAGAGATTCTACCTCTTAAATACTCCTCAATCTATTTCTATAGTGACCAGAGTGATCTACCTAAAACACATCTGACTTAAGTACCTTCAATGCCTTTCTATTTCCTATAGAATTAGTGTCTGAGAGCATATAAGACTATTTATGATCTTGCCCATGCTATTTCTCTACCCTCATCTCTCTCTAGACCCAATGACTTATTGATATTTCCTGAAACATGCCATTCTATTACATTCCTACATGACTTAGTTTCTCTGGATATTATCTGGAATGTTCTGCTCTTGTCTGTCTGGCAAATTCCTGCTAGTATTCTATGACTTTCTGCCTCTCTGAAATCTTTTCTGACCTATCGAGGCAGAGTTGAAACCACTTTTTTCACAGACTTCCTCTATTGTAGCACCTACTGCAGGGAATCATAATGATTTGAAAATTTGTTTCTAGAGAGTATGGACCACGTCTAATTTCTGTGCCTTCAGAGCCTGGCACTGGGCCTGACACATGGTAGGGTCTTAAATTACCTTTTTTTTTTTTAAGATTTTATTTATTTATTTGAGAGAGAGAGAGAGTGAGGGAGAACATGAGCAGGGGGTAGGGAGAGGGACAAATAGACTCCCCGCTGAGCAGGGAGCCCAATGTGGGGCTCCATCCCAGGACCCTAGGATCATGACCTGAGCCAAAGGCAGACCCTTAACTGACTGAGTTACTGTGGCGCCCCTTAAATTATCTTTGAATAGGGAAGCAAAATGCTTTGTTTAAAAGTGGGAGGAACTTGTCAACATGTTGTTGATAACCTCTTGGATCCAAGATTCGATGTCTGAAATATGTGATATTGATTCCTTCATTAATTCAATAAGTGTTTCTTGAGCATCTACACTAGGCCAGGCATGGGAATACAATGATGAATAAAAAGAGATATGTTCTTTACTGCTCTTAGGGAGTTGAAGATTTATTGGGGGAAAACTGTTACTGCATTTGCTTGAATTACTAAATAAATAGAACATATTCTGGGTTTGGCCCATGATGTCAGTCTGAGATTTTCCCTAACACCGGGCTTTCTGCAGTATGAGGTCAAAGCCTTTGCCTGTTGGTCTACTTTATGTGTGCTGCAAGTTTGTCTTTAGTTCTTCAGGACAGAAAAACCATTTTGGTTGGTGAATACTACAAAGTAAGAAACAAACATATAAAACAGTTGAACATCTTGTTTTAATCCAAGCAAAACTTTGTGTTTAGAAATCTGTGGAGGGTTGAGATACATAAGTGACTTTATAGTTTACCATGTGCTTTTGCATTTATTGTGGTTTTTGGTTTTGCTTATAGGAAAACCAAAGGAATAGGGAGGCATTCAAAAATCAACAAAACAGGATCACCTTCTTAGATTGGAGGGACTACCTTTAGGCAGTGACATGTTATAATATATACCCAAGCAAATAAAAGTCCTATCCCCCTGCTGAAAATGAAAAAGACACAAACTTCTACCTCAGACAATGTGACTGGAGGAGTGAAAGTAGCTGCTGGGTCCTGGCATTTTGAAAATGGAAAAGGAATCCCTCCCCTCTGCCCTACTCCCCAAATCCCCTGAGGGCTCAAGCTCTGTTTCCTTTTCAGTTGGGGTTAGTTTTAAAAGAGGACAGACTTGAAGTCAAAGAAACCAGTGATGTATAAAGTCAGTTAGGTACACTCAGAGGCATAGGGCCAGCATTACAGGGAATGAGCATTCTGTTTTAAATGTTGCAGTGTTGCTTAAGACAAGGGTGTATCTTTCTTGAATTTGGCTGTGCTGTTTTCCCTCCAGCCCCTCAGATGGAGATGGTAACAACTAGGAATTACTGCAGAACAGAGAAGCATTTTTTTTTTCTTTTTAGGTGGCATGCTATTGTGGTAGGCACATGCTGCCACAACAGAAAGATTAAGAAGCACAAGGCAAAGTTGCAATTTCAGCTTGAGTCCAAAGTAACAATCTCTTAAATTGAAGCTAAAATTATTTTGCTTAATTAGGAGCTTAAAAAAAATCAAGTTTTTAAAGGCTATAGTATTATGTAACAATTAGTCTACCAATACTTCCCTCTCATTTCTGGGGGTCTCAGAGAAACAGTGTTCTTGATCATCTTTTTTAAAGCAAAAATTGTAGGCCAGGTAGAGCTTTCAGGATTCCTTCTGAGATTTAGGGAAGGAAGGAAATGGGGAGGGGATAAAATTACAGATTATTTCATACCTTTTTTCCAGTTCTAAAAAGAAAGCTACTTTGGCATTCTGATAGACTAGTTTTTCTGAAAAAGTTCGGGCGTGGGCCTAAGATCTCTCTGAAGCCATTGTCCTGTCCATTTAAACGCAACTCCAGAAGGCTAGTATAGTGATACATTTCATCTACTAACTTTAGCGTAAAATAACTGGGTACAAAATGTCGGGGTCTCTATCTCAACAGCAGCAAATACCTATGTTCAAATGGGAATTATTTTTCTCAAAACTGGCCTCTGTCCATTTCCTGAATTAACTTTACCATTGTGGTTTAGTTGCTTGTTTTTGATAGGCAGAGTCACAATTGTGATGAGGAAAGGGAGTTCTTGCACTGGTTAGGTGACCAGGCAAGGTAACCAAGGGGTTCATTCCAGCTCCAGAACGGGCAGCAGGTCATGCCCACTGCCTGCAACCAGATCATCTCTACTCCTTGGAACCAGATCAACTCCACTCCACTGAACTGGGTCATTCCCACTCCTGGAAAGTGGGAGCGGATCATTCCCACTCCCTGAAGCCAGGAGTGAATCATCTCCACTCCCAGCTGAAGAAGGAAGGAGTCACTGCCAAGCTCTCTGCCACCTGCAACTCTGGACTTGATTGCCCCCATCAGACCTTCAAAAGATCTGAATGTGGCTGACTTCTTCATGTCTCCAAGCTTTCTGCAAATGGCAGAGCCCATGATAGACAGGGCAGCTGAAGTCTTTTGTTTCATGTAAACATTGGAGACTTGAACATCGTGCCAGCTCTTGGACAGATTCTGCCTTAGCCCCACCAAGGCTATGAGGCCCAGCTTCCTCTTGAGCTCCATGCAACATCTTTCTTTGGCTGCCAGAGTATAGCGTAGGGTTACAATTTCCTCCTCCAATTTAGTGAGCTCGGATTTGAGCTCCTTTCGTTCAGCCTCTGTGAGATCCTCTGGTTCAGCATGTGTGTTTGCTGAGATCTCTGTCATGGTGCCTGGCATGGACTAGGAAAGATCTTCATGAAGAGAGTCCAGATCCAATTCTTGGTAGAGAGAGTCATACACATAGCCAGTGGAGAAATAATCTTGGCCAGCAGAGTTGAAATCTAAACCTGTGGGGTCCAACTCTTGGCTGGTGGAGTAGGACTCTGGGAGGGATGGATCCATATCGCAGCCGGCAGAATGGCCTCCTTGGTGGGTAGTTGGCGGTTCTGACGTTGCTCTGACATGTGCAATGGATGCCTCCGCTCAAGGGGTCCACTTCCGGGTGGAGGGTAGGGAGTGGGGGGTGGGGCAGGGGCAGGGACAGGGGCAGGGCCTGGCCCTGCTGGCTTGGTGGTGCGAAGGCGAGATTTCCCGGTCAAAGACAGCAGCGGAAGGAACCCTGGGCTCAGCTGCAATGACTCCCATGCTCCTGGTGGTGTTTCAATGTAACAATGAATGTGTGAGGTGGGTGGTATGCCAACTATTATCAGAGAGAGGTTTTTTTTTCCTTTTGCCGTAGTAGGGGGGTAGGTCCCAGCCTTCAAACAGTCTGACTTCCCTTAGGGACCTCTTTGCACCACACCAGGCATTGCCAAACTCTTGAAAATCAGTTGAACCCCTTGTACTAATTTATAAATTTATTAAAAAGCCCAATACAGAAAATAAATGAAAACTACCTCAAGGTGGGGGCAGGAAGTCTAGAACTCCTGGTCTTGTATCCTCTCCATTTTCCCTTCCCAGATTACCAAAGGGCCCAAGAAACTCCTAGGACTACTCATAAAGTGGATTTGGAGGCTCCTCATAACTCTTCAGTCTAGATAGTGAAGGACATGCATGCTCCTGTGGCATGAAGTATCAACCATGCCAGAGGCTTGGGATAGTGAAACTCAGTGAGTCTTACCAGTCATAATTGTCTGTTACTTTTGGGAGGAGAAAGAAGGAGAACAAATAAATCTGTAATAGTTGTGGCAAATTTAAGGTTAATACGAGCAAAGACTATTGTTTTTTAAAAATTAAAAAAAATTAATTTCAATTAATTAACATATAATGTATTATTAGTTTCAGAGGTAAACGTCAGTGATTCATCAGTCTTATATAATACCCAATGCTCATTACATCACATGCCCAACTTAATGTCCATCACCCAGTTACCACATCCCCTTACCGCTCCCCTCCAGCAACCCTCAGTTTGTTTTCTGTGATAAAGAGACCCTTATGGTTTTTCTCTTTCTCTGCTATCATCTTATTTTATTTTTCCTCTCTTCCCCTATGATCCTCTCTTTTGTTTCTTAAATTCCACATATAAGTGAGAGCTTCTGATAATTGTCTTTCTCTGATTGACTTATTTCGCTTAGCATAATACCCTCTAGTTCCATCCACCTCATTGCAAATGGCAAGATTTCATTTTTTTGGTGGCTGAGTAGTATTCCATTGTATATATATACCTACCACATCTGTCATCTGTCGATGGGCACCTGGGCTCTTTCACAGTTTGGCTATTGTCGACATTGCTGCCATAAACATTGGGGTGCAGGTGCCCCTTCTTTTCACTACATCTGTATCTCTGGAGTAAATATCTAGTAGTGTAATTGCTAGGTCATAGGGTAGCTCTATTTTCAAATTTTTGAGGAATCTCCATACTGTTTTCCAGAGTGGCTGCACCAGCTTGCATTCCCACCACAGTGTAAGAGGGTTCCCCTTTCTCCACCTTCTTGCCAACAGCTGTCATTTCCTGACTTGTTAATTTTAGCCATTCTGACTGGTGTGAGGTGGTATCTCATTGTGGTTTTGATTTGTATTTCCCTGATGCCGAGCGATGTTGAGCACTTTTTCATGTGTCTGTTGGCCATTTGGATGTCTTCTTTGAAGAAATGTCTGTTCATGTCTTCTGCCCATTTCTTGATTGGATTATTTGTTCCTTGGGTGTTGAGTTTGGTAAGTTCTTTTTTTTTTTTTCTTTTTTTTTTATTAAAGATTTTTTTTTTATTTATTTGAGAGAGAGAATGAGAGAGAGAGAGCACATGAGAGGGGGGAGGGTCAGAGGGAGAAGCAGACTCCCTGCTGAGCAGGGAGCCCGATGCGGGACTCGATCCTGGGACTCCAGGATCATGACCTGAGCCGAAGGCAGTCGCTTAACCAACTGAGCCACCCAGGCGCCCTGAGCCACCCAGGCGCCCGAGTTTGGTAAGTTCTTTATAGATTTTGGATACTAGCTCTTTATTTGATATTTCATTTGCAAATATCTTCTCCCATTCTGTCGGTTGTCTTTTCATTTTGTTGACTGTTTCCTTTGCTGTGCAAAGACTTTTTATCTTGATGAAGTCCCAATAGTTCATTTTTGCCCTTGCTTCCCATGCCTTTGGCGATGTGTCTAGGAAGAAGTTGCTGCGGCTGAGGTCGAAGAGGTTGCTGCCTGTGTTCTCCTCTAGGATTTTGAGGGATTCCTGTCTCACATTGAGGTCTTTCATCCACTTTGAGTCTATTTTTGTGTGTGGTGTAAGAAAATGGTCCAGTTTCATTCTTCTGCATGTGGCTGTCCAATTTTCCCAACACCATTTATTGAAGAGACTGTCTTTTTTCCACTGGATATTCTTTCCTTCTTTGTCAAAGATTACTTGACCATAGAGTTGAGGATCCATTTCTGGGTTCTCTATTCTGTTCCATTGATCTGTTTGTGTCTGTTTTTGTGCCAGTACCATACTGTCTTGATGATGACAGCTTTGTAATAGAGCTTGAAGTCTGGGATTGTGATGCCAATGTTTTCAACATTCCTCTGACTATTCAGGGTATTTATGGTTCCATACAAATTTTAGGATTGTTTGTTCCAGCTTGGTGAAAAATGTGAATGGTATTTTGATAGGGATTGCATTGAATGTGTTGATTGGTCTGGGTAGCATAGACATTTTAACAATATTTATTCTTCCAATCCATGAGCATGGAATGTTTTTCCATCTTTTTGTGTCTTCCTCTAGTTCTTTCATAAATGTTCTATAGTTTTTAGAGTGCAGATCCTTTACATCTTTGGTTAGGTTTATTCCTAAGTATCTTATGGGTTTTGGTGCAGTTGTAAATGGGATCAACTCTTTAATTTCTCTTTCTTCTGTCTCATTGTTAGTGTATAGAAATGCAGCTGCTTTCTGTGCATTGATTTTATATCCTACCACTTTGCTGAATTCCTGTATGAGTTCTAGCAATTTTTTGGTGGAGTCTTTTGGGTGTTCAACATAGAGTATCATGTCATCTGTGAAGAGTGAGAGTTTGACTTCTTCTTTGCTGATTCTAGCAAAGACTATTGTATTGTGAGAATTTAGGAGAGAAGGAATAAGACATATGCAAATGGACAGCATATGGGTTTTCAATATTGCAGTTGCGTTTTTTTCCTAAACAGCCATTTATGTTTCTGAACGCATGTCTGCCCACATACATGGTTATCAGATGTGGGAGATGGTCTGCAAAGTAAAGTAGTAGTTGGATATTGTCTGTCAGGTTATAAAACCACAATATCCCTTATTTCTACTCAGAGCTTATAATTCATACAGTGGAAAAATCAGGGCTTCAATCCAGTGAGGGGAGGTGGTCACATATCACTTAGCCCATTGTTAGACTGCCCATTCCCAGGGAATAGCCTTGAGCAGGTTTTAGATTCTAGTGATTTTGTTGGAGATTCTGGTAGTTATTGCAAGCATGATCTTGCGGAACATGATGTGATCCTTAGCAAATTCAGCAATTTGCCATATGCATGGTTTATGTAGTTACAATGAAACATCTAGCTGGGCATCCAAACTAATTTTAAGCCTCCCTTTGGGTTTGTAGTAAATAACCCTTTCACATAACTCAGTAGTGTTTATTATGTCTTGCTCTGAAGTGTGTGCTTCCCTAGATTAAAAAATGAGGATTGTTCTTGTTGGAAACATGAAAGCTGATGAGGGTTTGGCTATGGGTATAAAGGCCTGAAAAGGGCAGCAAGGACTGCCTAAAAGTGTTTTGTTCCACAGGGTGGACTTTTCCTCTAATGCCTGCAGAAACACTAGTGGTTTCAGGAATGGCTCTCTGAACCAGAACTCTTTCAAAACCGAGTATGAAAGTTAAAGAACACCCTGAATTAAGCTAAATAACACGGAACAAACACTGTCCATTCAAAGTAAAGATTCCAAATGACCAGATTTGAATTTGCATTTGATTATCCTTCTCTGAACTATTTCAGCCACCAGCCTCACTATTTTGTTTTTATGCTTCCATGCCCTTCAATTCAAAGAATGAAATCCCTTGTTAAACTTTGATTCTTGTAAGTAGTGTAATGATCCAAATCAAAACATGGCTTCTGGAAGGGCCCCTCCTAGCTAGCAGTGTTCTGACCTCCTGAGTAGCTACCTGTACAAATAAGTCACACAATAGAACAATCCATTTTATTAGGCTTATACATAACCACATACAAAACAACACTTATATTTTGAAAACAGATCTGTCAAATGAAATTTCATTTAATTTATAGTGATTCTAGCCAATTGTTTGAATAAACTATCCTATTAAGTTGTAAAATACCAAACTATTGCTCCATGGTTTTAGAATCTTGCATCTCTAGATTAGACAATGAAATAATTTATATCACATAGAAAGGTCCACGAAGTTGTTAATCTGAAACTGAAAGCTTTTTGATGCTATTTAGGTACTAAATACAGCCAAAATATTTGATTCAGTAACCTATGGAGAAAGAACTTGAGAATTATTTTTAATCCTGTAAAAGTTTGCTATCTTTTGTTTCCAAAGAAGACATTATTTACCCATTTTTAGTAAAGAATGAACATTAATTATTTCTCTAGTAAGAGTGATGAGTTTATATACCAATAATGCATAAACATAACGGTAAATGGTACAACAAAAATGATGTTTCTTTCCTCCTAATGTTTAGAAACTTCTATGTTATGTTTTATAAATAAATTATTGAAACTTGAATGTAAAAGCAAAGCCATAACCTTTTAGGTCTGGATTGTTTAGGATAAAAGAAGTGAGATTGTAGTGTATTTGATACTTGAGTCTAGAAATGATTAGGGACTAGTACCAATGCCAGCAGGTTTAACCATTTGACTTCTTTTGTTATAAAAGATCAATATAGAGCTTCCTTTTCTCCTTCCTTCCTTCCTTCCTTCTTTTTCTTTCTTTCCCTCCTTTCTTTTTTCTTTTTC